AGCTACTTGGGAAGCTAAGGAAGGAGAATTGCTTGAAGCTTAGAGGCAGAGGTTACAGTGAGCCAAGGTCATGCCACTGCACTCCAGCCTGGGCAACAGAGTGAGACTCTGTCTCAAATAAATAAATAATAATTAATATGTGAATTAACCCCTTCATCAGTTCCAAATCCATTGAGAAATAGAAATAAGAGTCAGCTATGGATTAAAATATCAGCATTTCATTTTATTTTTTGCTAGAAAAAGCTGGATTGGTCCTGCAGTCAGAATCAGGATAATTATTTTCCTACCCTCAATCCAAGCCTAGACACTGAAATTTAAATGAGACATAAGTCAGATCTACAGAGCAAACCATACCTGAACTGATTACCAGTCAGTGCATTTAGGTTCAGCTGAAGAGAACTGAAAACTCTAACAATACATTGACTTAAGTTATAAAGAAGCAGGTACTTCGAGCTGGTCTGTAACTCCACAGTGTCATCAGAGGCCCATGCTTCTAAATATTTCTGCTCTATTATGCTTAGCACTTGACCTCCATCCTTAAGGTCACCTCATAGTCCAAGACAGTTACTGGGGCTCCAGCAATTTCATTTGCCTTCCAGACAGCAGTAACAAAGGTTGTAAGGAGCCTTCTGAGAAATCCCCTTTGCCATGTCATTGGCCAGAACATTTCACAAAGTTGCTCTAGCTTTGAGAGATGCTAAGAAGTGTAGTTTTAGTTTGAGCAATAATTTGCTCACCCTGAAACTGGTATTCTAGTACTAAGGATGAAGAGGAGAATGTTCTGATGAGCAACTGGTAGTCTGCCATAGTTATCTAACTGTCCAGACATGCCCTTCCTTGCCTCCATCAAGCTCAGAGAGCCCCAAGACTGTGACCCAGGCTTGTTGACCACACAGCACAGCAGCAGTGGGAGAGGAAGGGTCTGGAGAAAGCCAGGAAGGGGCTGAATGTCATGCCCAGTGTTCTTTTCCAAAACTCACCAGTTAGGTAAACCACATTCCTCCTATGGGAAGGAATAAGTACACATGGTAAGAGGGCCCAGAATATTCGTGGAATACTTTTCCCTCCTTAGGAGCAGAACAGAGACCCATAATAGAATCGAGGTCCTGTTTACCCTGACTGCACCTTTACCAGGCTCCCTTCTGCTTGGCCAACACATTTTGTTGTTGCTTTTGAGACAGAGTCACGCTCTGTCACCCCGGCTGGAGTGCAGTGGCATGACCTTGGCTCACTGCAACCTCTGCCTCTCGGGTTCAAGAGATTCTCCTGCCTCAGCCTCCAGAGTAGCTGGGACAACAGGCATGCATCACAACACCCAGGTGATTTTTGTATTTTTAGTAAAGACAGGGTTTCACCATGTTGGCCAGGCTTGTCTCTAACTCCTGGCCTCAAGTGGTTCACCTGCCTCAGGCTCCCGAGGTTCTGGGATTACAGGCATGAGCCACTGTGCCCACCATGCACTGTCTTACCCAACAGTTCCAACTAGTAAATCCTGACTTGTTATCTAATTCCAAGTTTACATGTCATTTTTCCTTTGGCACCCTTCATGACCCATGTTCCAGTCCCCAAACCAGTCTCTGTCCTTCCATACAAGTGTACTTAGACTAAAAGGATGACACTCACATGCAACTAGAACTCACTTTCTATGCCTCTTTCTTTTCCTTCTCCCATACATATACCAAATAATGCAGTTTTTGAAGACAGGAATCACTTTTATTTTGTCTTTGCATTTTAGTTTCTGATGTATAGTGTCTGATGCTTAAAAGACACCCAAATGTTTACTGCCTTAATAATGCTGAGACTTATCTCTCTTCCTTGTCTCCCTGCTTTAAAGATAAGGAAACTGAGATCTTGAGAGGTTGAAGGGCTTAGTGAACAGTAACAATGGGCATCTGGGTACATTAAAACCTCATTGTGTTCTAGAAACTTTCATACGGTGTGCATTCATTCTTAATTCTATCAACCTGGTGAAGTACCTGTTGGTATCCCCAGTTTACACTGAGATTAATTTGCAGGGCTGTGAAGTGAGAAAGTGGCTGAGCTAGGATTTGAACCTTGGTCTTTTCTTACTTGACGTTTATTAAGTTTTATTTATTTATTTATTTTTGAGACAGGGTCTTGCTATGTTGCTCAGACTGGTCTTGAACTCCTGGGCTCAAGGGATCCTCTTATGTCAGCCTCTCAAGTACGTAGCTGGTATTACAAGCATGCATAACCATGCCCAGTTACTTTTCCTTTTTTGAGACAGAATCTAACTTTGTCACCCAGGCTGGAGTGCAGTGGTGCAATCTTGGCTCACTGCAGCTTCAACAACCAGACTTAAGCAATCCCTCCTACCTCAGCCCTCCAAGTAGCTGGCATGCACCACCATGCCCACATAATTTGGGGGGGATTCTGGGGTGTCTTTTTTTTGTAGAGTCAGCTGATTGCCCAGGCTGATCTTGAACTCCTAAGCTCAAGCGATCTGCCTGCCTCAGCCTCCCAAAGTACTAGGCGTGAGCCACTGTGCCTGGTCAACTTTTCTTCCTTTAATCTCTAGGTCAGCATAGCATGGACTAAGGAAGAGCTGAGATCAGCTTTTCTGACTTTACACCTCACCCAAAGAGATTTGAATCCTATCCCCTTTCTTTCTCTGCTTTGCTTAATGCAATAATCATTTAATAGTGCTTATTAAGACAAGGCATTCTTATTAGTGATACACATGCCTTTCAGGGTTAGCAGTTTCCTACTGATGGTGGTGCACATCTGCTCAAGCCCATTCTTGTGCTCTTGCCTAAGTCTCCAAGAACTACTTATTATACAGACAACAGTTGGAAAGCAAGTCAGTCTATAATGTTGAAATTTCACCAGGGAACTCAGTGGTCATCCGGGTTGATGCTTATCAGAAAAAGATACTCCAGGAGGGCACCATCAATTAGCATTTGACTTTTAGAAAGGTTGAAGGTTGAAACCAGTTAAGGAAAGTAAAGTATAGGCTTCTCGAAACTCGTATCATAAAAACTGAGACTCTATGTATTGGGGGTTGGTTTGGTTGGTTCAGAGGAGAAAATGGTTAGTTCATCAGAGGCCACCAGGCTGAAACTCACTGCTACTTAGTCCCCCTTCAAAAGAAGACACACACGTGTTTCCTTAAGTCAACACTTCTGACAGAAAACTGCATTCATCACACAAGACTTCTTCTCAGATGGCTAACCACACTTCCATAGTTATCTGGGTAAAAGAGAGAGAATGAAATATTGAACTGTAAATATTTCCTCTGCTCCAGGGTTATCTAATCCTTAGTATCCTAAAATAGAAGGTTCCTAGAGTATTTCCATCATGTGGTGGTATGCATCGCCCTGGGTTCTTGAGATCAAATCCTTTTGATCAGAGAGTTTTATCCTTCAGACATCCTGCTTTCCTTGGGCTTTTAAACTAGTAGCAAAAATGGCATTAGAGGCTCCAACAGGTGGAGAGAATGTGAATAGGGAAGAGGAAGCAGGGATATCATGGAGACAGAATCATCTTACGCGATCAGGCCATTTAACTGTACCTGAAAATGCGGGTCCAGGTCTGTTTGCTTATTAAATGATTTAAGCACAGTAAGAAACCCATATCATATTGCAACCCAGTGCATTCATGTAAATACACATGCACACACACGTCACAACCTGAAGTAGTGGATGAAGGAGTAAGTGATGATTAGAGCACGGGTTATGGAGTTAGACCCACCGTCAAGCCCCTGCTCTCCCACTTGAACCCCTAAAATTATTTTCGAGAACTATATAGCCCTGCTAAAAGTTGTTGTCTAAATATTTTTCTCACAAAATGTAAATACTTGCAAAGAGTATAATTTCAAGTTTGTCATAAATATGCTTTAAAAATATTTCTGTCAAAATCTTGGAACTACAGCTTCAACTCAAATTTGTGGGAAGTGTCCATTATACAACCTAAGTGCCAAAGCCATTCCTCACTGTCTCACCTGTCAGGTTAATCAGATGTAACTTCCTAGCAGAAAAAAAGTCAGCATTTTGCAATTCAAATAAAGTAAACACAGCAGGCTCCTTGTCCCTGACATCCATTGCCCTTCTGAATTCTCTGAGACAGAGTGATAGATGGATGAGAGAGAGGGGTGAAAGCCTTGCCATGAGTTTGTGCCTGGTTGAAATAAAGCCATGCTCCCAACAGACCTTATCATAGAAACAAGGCTTTCCCAAATTATCCCTTGATTTGGCAGCTGGGAGTTTATATCCCAGGGCCCAAGCACTTTCAAAGCTTTGAAATGGGGCCAGCCCGATGGCTCACACCTGTAATCACAGCACTCTAGGAGCCCAAGGAAGGTGGATCACCTGAGATCAGGAGTTCGAGACCACCCTGGCCAACATGGTGAAACCCTGTCTCTACTAAAAATACACAAATTAGCAGGGTGTGGTGGTGCATGCTTGTAATCCTAGCTACTTGGGAGGCTGAGGCAGGAGAATCTTTTGAACCCATGAGATGGAAGTTGTGGTGAGCTGAGGTCACACCACTGCACCCCAGCCTGGGCCACAGAGCAAGACTCCATCTCAAAAAGATTTGAAATGGATGAGAAATATGTCTTTCATTTGTAAAGTGGCAGGAGTACAGTTGTGAAAGAGGAAGTGAGAAGGGAGAGCTAACTGGCAGGTCTCAGCTAAGCCAGTTTTGGGAAGAATTGCATCTAGAACTTGAGGATCTGGAAACCGATTCTCCTAAAATTATGACTTGAACTCTCAAGAAAGTTTGCAAGTAGCCTTAGGTACACTGTTCTAAGCCTTCAGTGTCCTCATCTATAAAATGCAAATAATAATAGTACCTACCTCCAAACATAGCTCTGAAGAAGAACGGTGATACAAAAGTCCTTGGTGCACAATAAGCACACTGTGTTCACTATCATTATGATCATTGCTGTTGCTATCCAGTCCTCTACTGGTTAACGATGTCATTTCTCAACGAACTAAGTCATCCTTGGGCCCAGCGCTAACACCTTGTTTATGTTTTAGGCACTAGTTTTCAGGCCTCAGGATACAATTTCAACACATATGACTGGAGGAGTCCAAAACAAAGAGGCAGCTTGTCCCCGGTAACTAAGCCTCGAAGCCAGACTTACCCAGATGTGGGGCTAAGTAATGAAGACTGGGACCGGTCCACAGTCAGTGGGTAAGATTTTCAACCAGTGCTGCCTCATCCAAGACAACTTCATGGTCATGTGAGCAAGATTTGAACTTCTGTACTTCCAGTGGCACATATTGTTAGTATGGGCTTTTTAAAGCCACCATAATCATCCATGCTGGCCACATGGCAGGATTCTAAAAGCTGCCTGATCAGTGGCAGCCTGGGCACCACCACACCACAACAGGGCAAGGGCTCGGTTTCCCCTAACAAAAACAGTAGTAGCACCTGGGGAAAAGCTGCTTCTATAAACTATGTACTCCCTTATGACAAGTAGGTCCTTCCCCTTTATTTTATTAATTTTTGAGACAGAGTCTCACTCTGCTGCCCAGGCTGGCGTGCGATGGCACGATCTTGGCTCACTGCAACCTCCGCCTCCCGGGTTCTAGTGATTCTCATACCTCAGCTTCCTGAGTAGCGGGGATTAAAGACATGTGCCACCACACCTGTCTAATTTTTGTTTTTTAATTTTATTTATTATTATTATTTGAGATGGAGCATCACTCTGTTGCCCAGGCTGGAGTGCAATGGCGCAATCTTGGCTCACTGCAACCTCCGCCTCCCAGGTTCAAGCGATTCTCCTGCCTCAGCCTCCCAGGTAGCTGGGATTACAGGCATGCACTACCATACCTGGCTAATTTTTGTATTTTTAGTAGAGATGGGGTTTCACATTGGCCAGGCTGATCTTGAACTCCTGACTTCATGATCCGCCCACCTTGGCCTCCCAAAGTTCTGGGGTTGCAGGCGTAAGCCACCGCACCAGGCCTTTTTAATTTACTTATTTATTTATTTATTTTATTTATTTTTTTTGAGATGGAGTCTCACTCTGTCACCCAAGCTAAAGTTCATTGGTGTGATCTCAGCGCACTGCCACCTGTGCTTCCCAGGTTGAAGTGATTCTTCCCCCTTACCGTCCCCTTACAGGTGCCTACCACCACACCTGGCTCATTTTTGTATTTTTAATAGAGATGGGGTTTTACTATGTTGGCCAGGCTGGTCTCAAACTCCCCTCTTCAAGTTGTCTGCCCACCTAGGCCTCCCAAAGTGCTGGGATTACAGGCATGAGCCACCCCATCTGGCTCCTTTCCTTTCTTTTAAAAGTTAGTTTCACGTTAGGTTACATTATTTTTTAAACATACATCATAGATCTATTTTTTCAGCAAAATATATTTTACCATTTTGTTTATTACCGAAACGTTTTAAGGAAATTTATAAAAAGTGATAACATTTAGTTTATTTATAAGTGGGGAAAACACGTTTCCCTCTTAAGAGAAAAATTTGGTTTCTCTTGTAGATATAGCAGCTGAAATACATTCCTGACGTTCCATCCCATTTCAATAGGGCCGTGTGGCCACAGCCTATTTAGCAGCAGCCACAGATAGTCTGAAATCCAGTAGTAAGACCGTGGGCCATCTTTTCCATCTTCACAACACTACATTTCCTAAAGCGTCCCTCTGCGGAAGCTCATGTACTTGGAGGATACGGGTGGAAGAAAGCCAGATCCAAAATGACTCTCTTTCTGTATTTTGTGTGAGGTGAAGGAGAGAGATTCTGGATACCAAACATATATGTCTAGCAAGTTCCTAAGCTGGCCTGTGTTTCTTGACAACAGTTTTGCAGGGGCTGCCGATAGTGCAGAGACAGAACAAGAGGAGAACTTCTGGTCTCAAGCGCTGGAAGATTTGGAAACCTGCGGACAGTCGGGAATTCTGAGAGAACTGGAGGTAGCCTTGGTCCTGCTACTTACTTTTATTGTTTCTACATTCATTTTTTTCGGTCCTTTTAAGTTTGCATTTCTCACACCAGTTCATTTAAAAGCTTTAACCCCTTTTCACAGGAGAAAGCTGACAGGCGTGTGTCTTTGAGAAACATGACTCTCTTGGTAGCTACCCTTTATGTTTATATTTTTGCTTGTGAAGCTGCCTTCCCTACCCCCTTGCCTTCTGGACAGCAATTTGATTTTATACAATGCAGTCAAAAGTATTTATTTCCCCATCTCCACCCCTCAAGCTTACTGACTTGTGGCTTCTGCCATTGCTCCCTGCTAACCCTGACTGTCTCTGTTTCCCACCAATTCGCTAAAAAGCGAGCTAAGTCTCCCAGCAGTGGCTCATCCCATTCTCTTAGTTGCTTTAGAAAGGTTTATTTGGCATGTTTTCATTTGTACCTGGTATAGAAATTAATTTGATCGTTAAGAGGAACATAAAAGGAAATTCTATTTTATTTTGTTTTGTCCTTAAAGGAGATGACAATGCAGCTGCTGAAAAAGGCCAGTCTATTTGATAAGCAGCAAAAATATTACATAGTACTTTGCTGTTAATTGAAAATCCTGATTCCATCCATGTTAACTGAGTGTAAATTCAAGGAAGAATGAGATGGAGTGTAATAGCTGAACTCCTGGTGAGTTCTTTAATCAAAGCCATGAATTTGCTGATGGTATTCACACTTTAGTCTGGGAAGTCCTGGACTATTTCCTTTTATGTTCTTTTAAATTTTCTGAGCTGTAAAAAATAAAGTGGCAAAAGTCTCATTTTTATTTTGATGCCATATGAGGTTCCCAAGTCACCATAAGGAATGTGAATGGCATAATGGGGTGAAACTCTTGCAATTCTAAAATGATTATTCATCTTTATATTATTTTGCTTCTCAATTGCATGTGTGGATATTTTATGTGATTCTAATGTTTGTGAATCTGCAGAGAATTATCAAGAAAAATATTAGTTTGAACTTGTAAACATCATAGTATTACCTGGCATGAATTGTAGCTTCAGAGCATAATTAAAGGTCTTGGACATGGATAATCCTATAAAATCTAAACGAAGTAAGACGTTGCAAGGATTCCTTTTTATACAACTTTCAAAAAGAGCTGAATGCTTAAGTATCAGCTGGGTTATTTAAACCTATACCACCTTCTGCATGTAGAATGATGAAGAAAAGTGGCCCAAACTGAATAACGAGCACAATTCTCCATTCTTGAACATAGCTCTGCTTTTGAAAGCATGTTTTGACTCATCCAGCTTTTTCATTGTGCAATTTAATACTTCTCTTTTGAAGAAAAAGCTATTCTTCCAACAGCTTATTTTACATTAGGCAAAAAGAAAATGATGTAAAATGTAATACAATGAAGTTCTGTTTTCACCCAGAAATTGAGTTATCTGATGAAAACAACATTCATCAGCAAGAGTGGAAGTTATGTTGCCACAGCCTGTGAGTTTGCTCTAACATAGCTCCAGACAGGTGTGGCCCTTGACATTATTATGCAGAAAGCAAATGAGTTGAATTTATAAGCCAAAGGGAAATTAAATCCTCAACTAGGATGAATGATTGGCAAAGTCATAGAGTCATATTTACACTTTTATCACAAGGAATATTCATTTATTGACTTAAGTGAATTCCATTCCCTTGATTGGAAATGCTATTATACAAAAAAATATTGGAGCTAGATTCCTGCCTATTAAATTTACATCCAGCATTAAAAGTTAAAGCACACTATAATACTAATAAATGTAGATGGTTAGCTAAGATGAAAGATGATTACAATTGAAATGCAAATGAAAATTAATTTACTAATCATTTTCCCTATTGCTAGTAATAATTTAGATTCAACTTTAACACTGAAAAAATGTATAGCTTTAACATTTGAGAAAAATTTGAATGACTCTTGGACAAGTTTTTAACCTCTCTTATCAGATATTTATTCTATAAAATATGGGAATTATAATGAGCTAGTAATTATGTGGAACTTAAGTGTTCAATAAAGTATTCAATAAAAGTTAACTCTTAGTATTTTTACCCTTTCTTGATTAATGAACACTGCTTTATTTTTTGTTTAGCATAATATAGGAAGAAGATTTAAATGTCAGATAGAGAACTCTAGGTTGCCTTAGGGATAATATACAGTTATGAATTGTGGCAAATGAAAACAGGTAATACATACTCTTGAGATCAAAGCAAATCTTAGGTAATTAAAAATAGTTTTTTAGCTTTTTATTTTAGTTTTTATGTTTGTGTTTTAGCTTTTGTGTTCCTCCTTAGATGCTACCTAAAGGTCATTTTAAACAAAGCAATCAAACTTATTGTTTGTACATTCACCTACTTACTTGAAGATGTAAACCAAAGAATTAAGGATAGCATCTCATTTCTTCCATGAGAACCTTTTCTAAATCAATTTGTAATTTCTTCTATGGCAGCTAAGGCTCATCAAAGCAAAACTGTGGTCTCCCAGATGTAGTGATTAAGTGTTTTACTTCCAATATGTGTCCCATCATTCTCATGAAAAATGAATATTTAAAAATGGATGTTAACAAAACAAACGTCTAAGTAGGTAAAAATAATAAGTGGATGGTCACCATGGCAAGAAAACAACAACTGAGTGCTGTCAGTTACACTAGATTAAACATAGAAATGGGCCGGGTGCAGTGGCTCACACCTGTAATCCTACCACTTTGGGAAGCTGAGATGAGCAGATCACCTGAGGCCAGGAGTTCAACACCAGCCAGTTTGAGACCAGCCTGGCCAACATGGTGAAATCTCATCTCCACTAAAAATACAAAAATTAGCTGGGCATGGTGACGGGTGCCTGTGATCCCAGTCACTTGGGAAGCTGAGGCAGGAGAATCACTTGAATCCAGGAGGTGGAGGTTGCAGTGAGCCGAGATCCAGCCACTGCACTCCAACCTGATGACAGAGTAAGACTCTATCTCAAAAAAATAATAATAAAATAAACATAGAAATGATATACATGAGTAAGTGCTGTAAAATAATGAATGTCCCATGACACCAATGAAGCCAGTAAAGGAAGATTTCAATCAACTTAAAAAGGGTATTTATCTGAAATAAATGGTAATATAGATAACCCACACTTGTTTTTAAATGCTAGGCATCTTTCTACCTACTAAAAAGGAAGTTTTATATGGTTCAACCTAATACTTGACTGAGAAGCACCAAGCAGTGAAGAACAAGAGTTCTAGAGTCAGAGTGCTAGGGCTCTATGTTCAGGCCCTCGGGCAAGTTGCTTAACTTGTCCATGCATCTCTTTTCTTAACTGAAATGAGGATGCATAGTAATTTTAATGTCTACTGTATAGGGTTACTTACGTATTAAATGATATTCTATATACAGTCTGTTTGGGACTTAGCATGTATTAATGTGCAGTGATCAACAAGTCTTTTTACAGTTATAATTTTATGTTTCAATATTATCAATGAGATAACTGATCTAGTCAAGATACTTGTTTCATTTCTTTTTCAACAGAGTTGTTAGGTATATCCACATGTGTGCCAACACTTGGCTATTATTCAAAGATCTTCTTAGTAGTGTGTGTATAGCCGAACACCAGGTGAATTTGAGAATTATGAAATCTTAGAGACATGACAAATGAAAACTCTACTCACTTTGCAGTATTCCCTCATGATCAATAATTTTATAAAGTGCCCTCGGCTCATTTACTACCTATGTGACCTTAGCCTCTTTGTGGCTCAGTTCCTCACCTGTAAGTTGAGAGGAATGGCCAGGCGTGGTGACTCATACCTGTAATCCCAGCACTTTGGGAGGCCAAGTGGGCTGGATCACTTGAAGTCAGGAGTTTCAGACCAGCCTGGCCGACTTGGTGAAATCCCATCTCTACTAAAAATGCAAAAATTAGCCAAGCATGGTGCTACATACCTGTAGTCCCAGCTACTTGGGAGGCTGTGGCACAAGAATTGTTTGAACAAAGAAGGCAGAGGTTGCAGTGAGCCAAGTTCGTACCACTGCACCCCTGGGTGACAGAGTGAGGCTCTGTCTCAAAAAAAAAAAAAGAAAAGAAACAAATAAATAATAAATAGAGAGAAGTAACAATGCCTACTCCATAGAGTTGTTGTGAGGATTAAATGAGTGACTACATTCAAAAGACTCAGTAAGTTAAGCTTCTGTTACTTTTAGCATCAGTATTAATATAAATAACTAAGTCATATGATAGTCACATGGCAAATAGAACTTGTTTTCTGTCCCCATGGTTTCAGGCAGATTTACCAATGCTAGTTTACCTTTATATACCCTTATATCCAGGAGTACAGAGCTGGCTACAGGCATCTTTTCAGAATTTTAGCATTGTCCAACCATGAGAAATGAGTATCCACTACTTGATATTGGTTTCAAATCCTTTTTTTTTTTTTTTTCTGAGCCTCATTCATCTTTGGTATCAAATCTTGTCATTGCTTGTGACTCATTCAGGGAAGAACATATTTGAAACTGAACAAACTTCCCAATGCAGTGGTAACATCCAATCCAAGTCCTACTGCTTGTGAGCAAAAAGTTGAATATAATAACATAATAAACGATTATTTTTAGTTTACCTGAGGATCTTATATAAAGAGCATTTCTAAGAAACAGTTATCTATACCAAATAATATGGGGACTTAGCTGATCTACAAATTTTGGGGACAGGCCACTTGGCCAAAGGAAAGGCAATATACGATGCTAAACAGGAAGCTTGAGAAGAACTTCTTGCCCACTGTTAGATGCAGTAGGACATAGAGGAAGCATTGCAAGTATAGACAGCCTGGTCCCCATTGAGAAGCTCTTAGTTACTTTCTGCTAGATGTATTCAAGGTTGCCTCATGAATCCCATCTGTTGGAGCCCACTCAGTGGAAAGTTAATGCTTAAAATGTAGTTTACAGTAAGCAAATGTTAGAGCGTTTCAATTTGCCTCAAAACTGCCAGGGGTGGTATTTGATTAAATAAACTCAACGCTTAAGTACTTAAATTGGATTTGAGATGTGCATCATAAATGTCACTTGCAAAGCATTTTCCAGACTTTCATAGTTCAATTAGTACATCCATTCTCCAGCCTTAGGTTATGCCCTGAAGAGACTGTATTTTGACCTTGCGGAAGGAGAATTGTATTTACCGTTGAGCACCAAACCCTTTCCTTAGTCCACAGCCTAATTGTTTTTTAAAATTGTCAATGCCACAGGCAACAATCATGTCTGGGAGCACGATGAGTTTGAATCATGAGGCTCCAACACCTCGCAGTCAGCTGGGGCGACAGGCCAGCTTCCAGGAGCGCAGCAGCTCGCGGCCACACTACAGCCAAACAACTCGGAGCAACACCCTGCCCTCAGATGTGGGTAGGAAGTCAGTAACCCTGAGAAAAATGAAACAAGAAATAAAAGAGATCATGTCCCCAACTCCTGTGGAGCTGCATAAGGTGAGTAAGCTTTCTCTTCTTTCCCTAGGGTCAGATTTAGCAACCATTCTGCATAGCATGTATGCCCGGTTGTAAGGATGGCGGTGGTAGCCTCCTATGGGCTCAGGAAAGCAAAGAAGCGTAAAGGCAGATCTTCAGAGACTTTGTTTTCAAAATACAATGCCTGGGAGGTTATCCTGGAAAGCAGGGAAAATTGGCTTTCAAGCAATGTATTTATCAAAAATGTATTTATCAGAAATGTATTTATGGTGGCTGGGTGTGGTAGCACATGCCTGTTATCCCAGCACTTTGGGAGGCCAAGGCAGGTGGATCATTTGAGGTCAGGAGTTGGTCAGCCTGGCCAACATGATGAAACCCCATCTCTACTAAAAATACAAAAATTAACCAGGCGTGATGGCAGGTATCTATAATCCCAGTGACTTGGGAGGCTGAGGCAGGAGAATCACTTGAACCCGGGAGGCAGAGGTTGCAGTGAGCTAAGAATGCAGCACTGCACTCCAGCCTCAGTGACAGAGCAAGACTATATCTCAAAAAAAAAAAAAAAAAAAAAAAAAAAAAAAAAAAGTATTTATGGCCAGAATCCTCTTACAAAAATGTGAGGCTTCAATGTCACATGGAGGTTACATGAATTAGTCTATTATTGCAATCTCATTGGAAGGAGGAAAGGATTTTCTAAATGTCATACCCTCATAGTTTCATAAAAAAGGGGGTTCAGCTTCAATGTGGGGAGGTTTAATCTTTCATTACAGACTAATAGTAGATGGTTATGTTGTTCAGTAGCCATGGAATTCTCTCCAAGATGTGTTAGATGGTCTTGGGCCAGGACAGGGTAAGCCTTAGTTACGCTCTGTCTCAGACTGGGATAGTTGCCTCACTTTGCTACATGGAAGAAAACCCACTCTTGCACACAAAGCTGAATTCAAGATTTGCTGGCAGGATTAGTCAAGGCATATGTAGTAACAGTGTTTGCAGAACCCTGGGCCAAGGAGAGTAGTGGAAATCTAGTTTTCTTTTCTAGAGTTAGTGCTTTTTTTGTTAATATATAAGGATGTATAAAATGATAACAATCTCATGCCACCTTTCTTGAGAACCAAGACATTTTATGTGGTTAATAATCTATTTTGTGGTTATTAATCTTTTCTTCTGGATAAGATAACAAATAATCTACTAGACATCTATTATCCAGAAGAGCAAATAACTGTCAGATTCAGAGGAGGTAATGTAGGCTTTTTTCCTCTAAAGACCTCAATTTCCCTAGCCACCTTATAAAACCTAGCTATTTGTTTTGCAACTGACAAGGATATTGTGAAAGAAAGGATAATATGGGAAGTTGGATTCTGAACTTTGTTTTTCAATCCTGGGTTTATTCTTTCACCACTCACTCCTCCATTCATTTAATGCCTATCCTATGCATTTATTCACTCAAAGAATGTATTACAAATCCCCAGAGAGTACAGAGTCTAGTGAGGAGACTGTCTGGGAAACCGGGAAGATAATGGCATCAGTCCAATGACAGAGGCAAGCCTGGGCAGCCCTGGAGTCAAGAGGGTGGGCCCTAACCCACTGCAGAGGGACAGAAAAGGCTTCCTAGAAGTAGGTGTTGACTATGCAGAGGAAGGTAGAGGATGGGTGGGCATTCCAAGCACAGAAAAAAGCAAGTGCAAAGAGGTGTCAAAGATTGTGGTGTAGGCGGGGTGCGGTGGCTCATGCCTATAATCCCAGCACTTTGGGAGGCCGAGGCAGGTGGATCACCTGAGGTTGGGAGTTCAAGATCAGCCTGACCAACATGGAGAAACCCCGTCTCTACTAAAAATGCAAAATTAGCCAGGCGTGGTGGCACATGCCTGGAATCGGAGCTACTCAGAAGGCTGAGGCAGGAGAATCGCTTGAACCCAGAAGGCAGAGATTGCAGTGAGCTGACATCATGCCATTGCACTTCAGCCTGGGCCACAAAAGTGAAACTCCATCCCAAAAAAAAAGACTGTGGTGCATTGGATGGAATGCAAATATTCTAACATGACCAGAACCTAGAATTGGAAACTTGTGTGTTAGGAGGAATTACAGACTAAGAGAAAAAGCAAAGACATTTCTGACATGTTAGGATGATGACCCAGGTTTAGGACCCATGCCACAAGTTAGCTTGTTTATCTAGTCACCCTAAATTGATGTGTCTGATTGGTAAGTCACAAGTCCTCATATACTAATTGACACACACCATTAGGCTGTAAGAAGTCCAATGGTGATTAAATTGCAGAAGCCACATATTCAGTGCTAAGTCTGCTGTACCAAGAAGAGGGCTGGCACCTGCAGGTTCCCTTGGGTACCTGTGAACACTGCCTTCCCCTATTCTGTACAGTTCTGTTCCCCAGAGAAGCAGGAGCCTGCCTGATAACTCTCCCTCCTTCACCTCCAAAGAGAATGCATATCAACACATACTGAGTGCCTAGCAAGTGCTATATACCTTTCATTCTCAGCCCTCAGTTACACAGGATAGACAAATAGCAAGTATAAAAGAGAGTCATTTCTTCCTCTGAAGAAATGTTTCACAGAGGTGAAACAGAGTGACTGTTTCACAGTCACCTCAGAGGAAGAAGATTATTGATAGCCCAGGAATACAAAACACTGTCTTCTCATCCCTCCAGCACTGAAAGCATTTAGCAAAGATAATGGCAATGAATTAATGTTGTTATAGCTGAAGTTTAAAGTGGCTCTGCTAAAAAAAAAAAATTAAAAAAAAAAAAAGCTCTTGTTAAGAAAAAAGTATTACCCACCTATTGGTAATATGAGTGGCCATGGGTGGACCCGTTGGAACATTTATGTGGCAGTGTGTGAATTGTGAGACCCTAAGATCATAGACACTCATGGGTCAAATTGACCTCCTCAGTAGGATGCTTCTTTTTTCCTTCACTTCTGTCGTTTCCTCTAAATGGTGACAATATGTACATTTCTCATGGAGCTTCGCTTTTTTCTGAATTGATCCCCAAAAAATAAGATTGTAAAAAATAAGTGGTGTCCTAGACATTGTAAGCCCCCTAAAATAACCTAATTAAGTGAAGATGTAGTCGAGGTGCAAGTGGCCGGATACTGTAGAATTATTGGAGTGGTTTATGCTCACATCTTGGGTATCTGTCCTTTTTTAAGGAATTCACTTACTCCGATAGGCCATCCAGGATGTTTGTTAGTAGGCATACCCTCCAAGTTTGAAGTGCTAGAGAGGAGAAATGGTCATTACAAAAGCTATTTAGAGCAAAGACTGGCAATTGCTCATGTATCTTGAATGTGGGTGTCTTTTGTACACCAAAAGACTACCTGATGTCATGAAAAGGCACAATGACTTGTTAAAGGAATGGAGCTATCCTCCCCTGAGGTGCTACTATCCTGTATTAAACCTTTTGTGAACATTAGGAAAAGGTACTCTTTTGCAATGGTGGCATGGAGAAGGGATCTAGGAAATGAGAAAAACACCTTCCACAAGTTGAAGATAACCCAAGCCACAGTCCACAGCTGGTTTTCAGTCCCCTAAGCCTCTTTGGTAGCCTTTTCCAAATGGACCTAGTGGATTCCCAAGGGGCTGAAAAGACCAGAGTGGAGAGACTGGGAGAGGTGAATAGCACACCAGGCTAAGCATGCTTGGTGTTATTTTCCTGGTGCTATCTTTCTGGTGGCTGTTTGTCACATGGTTAGGCTGTATGCAGGAGAACAAGTAGTGGGCCTGTTCATATCTAGACCGGCACCTGCAAAACCTTATTATTTTCACTGTAAGTTGGATCAAGATAATATAAATGAATGGACAAGGATCTGTACTATTGCTGGGGGGAAAAATAGCTAAAAACACTCCAGCTTCTGCAGGTGGGTTACTAACATCATCTCCATACAGAAAGAATGGCGCATTGGTTCACCTTCCACTTTCTTGGGTCTCAGCCTACTCTCCAGAGTTTGCCCCTTGTTTTCTGTCCATTCCTTCCTGCTACTTCTCTTCCTCTAGACATTTAAAGGTCCCCAGGTCAGAATCTAAATGGTTTTCACTCATTTCTCATCATCTGCTGCATCTGAGGCTCCCCTGGGGACTTGACAAGCCTTCCTTCAAGTCGTCCACATTCATTCCTGAAGCCAAAAAGCCAGTTGTCACGCCTGACACTGGAGAGCAAAAAACAAAGTCTTATGTCCTTTTTTGACTTTATAGACATGAGAAAGAAGTGGAGCTGGAGTGATTTAGAACTCAGTATGGGGATGGAAAAAACGATAAATGGGTCACAGGGAAGTCATCTTCATGTCCTTTTAGGCCACTCCTTCTCCAGCTTTCTCAGCTGGGATGCACAATCTGAAACATATTGTACCTCACAATTCACTACACATGTACACCCACACTCACATATATGAATGACTCCAAAAATTGACTGCACAGTATACACTGACATTTTTCTGCCTTTTCTTCAGTTTCTTTTCAAATGCTAATCTCACTAAGCTGATTTCAAGACTTATTAATAGGTTTCAACCAATAGTCTGAGGATTAAAGCCTAAGACAGTAGTTTGGGGTATGAACCCCTCATGACCCATAGAATGCTTGTTAAAATGAGGGTTCCGAAGCCCAACCCAGACTTACCGCATCAACATTCTCAGGGAGCGTGGGCCAAGAATCTACATTTTGGCAGCCTTTTCAGTGGATTCTTTTGCAGAATAGAGATTGAGAATCACTCCCTTAGGTTTTGCTATCTGGAGGTGAAATCATAGGCAACAGCTGGGTGGCAGGGTACAAAAGAAAGGAGGCTGCTTCCAAGGCCCTGGAGCTTCTGCATTTTATCTTTCCAGTGAATTCTGGTTTGTACTGCAGCTTATCACAGATTCTCTCTCTTTGCAGATAAGGGACCTGTGGTCTCAGCTACAATTCATTGATAACCCTTCTTTCCCTTCTGAAGCTTAAATGTCCTTTGGTGTCCACTTAATCTGTTTCTGAAATGAGTTCTAGCCTCACTTCTTTGCACATCTTAAGGCAGAACGAT